CACTACAGTAAGGTTCCAGAACCAAAACATTTAAACTGAGCCTTGCTTGCAAGAAAGGCTGTAGAATCCATTAGGAAGATAGAATCATTTCTGTGACAGCATTACAATGCCAACACCCCTTTCCCCATCCCCTCTAGCAAGAATTCTACCATATTAACCCATTTAAACATACTTGCACTTGGGCATTAGTCTCTCAATATCACCAATGGTTTCCCTGTGAAACAACATCTGAGGAATGAGTGCAGAAATCCAGATCTGAGAAGTTCTTCTGATTGGTTGAAGCCAATTTTCGACCAATCAGAAGCACTACCCAGATCAGGGTAGTGACATATCATCATATTATGGAATTTCTGTGCTCGTTCCTTAGATGTCACTTCACAAAGATACCGTCAGTGGCGTAATGAAATGTTGGTAGTTTTCTCATGCTAGATATTAGGCAGCTTAACCAACGACGACAGCAATGACAATGGCAACGAGAAGCCTTAGATTAGCAAAACAACAACTCTGCATGAGCATCACTTGTTTTTGTACATTTCTTTGCTGTCCTTGCATGACTACAACGTGAAAATGCCTAATTTCACGTTTTAGGGAGGATGGGAACACACGACAACAATTTCCTTTTTCTTCCTCTGAACTTCAATATAGTCCTTTAGAATTCAACTCCAGAAAAATGCGCCATTATTTGCTGAATTGAATGAGATGCCGAAGGAATAAGTGAGGTTAAGTTTGAAGCAGAACGAATTAACCTTTGAAGTGATGTTTTTGTAGTCATTGCCGTCATTGTTGCTTAAGCTCCCTCCTATCACAAAGTCAGGAGGAGTGCCCCACCCCCCCAGTCCCCCTTCATTCCTATAGGTAAGGTGAGAGGTACTGCAATAAGTATTTTCTTACCCTGCTACTGCGTAGGTATACACCAGCACCCTTACTCTCGGGAAATTTGACTCCAGATGATTCAGCCTGCAAAACAATTAACAGAAGTCATGATTTACATAATGTAATATCCCAGAACACATTTATGTTGCAATGTTAGTTTCCATGATTTGCTGCAAAGGACTGGAGTTCAGTCACAGTATGTCCTCAAAACATTTTTCGCATTTGTTATTATCTACTTGCTGAATACAGGTTGTATGAGCAGTAGGAATATGCAGAAAACATTATCACGAACATTAAAATTAGTTATTTTTATTAACAATTTTGAGGTAGTCACCTTGGTTGGTTTGTCTGGTAGTTCTCCTTTCTTCTTGGTTGGCTTCTTTTTGATGGGTTTCTTGTCTCTCCTGAAAAATAAAGTTGATTGACTTGACAAAATGCACCATAATCCTACTGGTTTTCTTAAACTGTGATAATAGCTTACAAAACAAGGAGATTGATGGGAATAGGAAAAAAAGAGTGAGCAAACAACAATTCTGTACAAAAGCAAATTAGAAAGTAAACAGAGCGTAAATGACATTTCAAGCAAATGTCCATCTCACTTCAATTTGACTTTAGAATGACCAAAAACACTTAGCTTACTTTAATCTGTACGAGTCAGCCTGATTTTCAGCAGCCGTGATAAGTTTTTGTAGATCTTGCTGTTTCTTCTCCCTCTCTTTCTTACGCATTTCAATTTTCCTCAGTTCCGCAACAAGCATTTCCTCTTCTTGGACCTAAAAAAATTTGTTTCAGAAAAATCAATGCTCCAAATATTGGTTTGAACCCCCCTCCCCTTTGGAAATTCCAGTTCAGATTCATACTTTCGTTTAAAAATTTAGAACTTGAAGACCCTTCCTCACTCATAGAATTTGCAATGACCCTCCATGTTGTACATTGTAGGTATGGATAATTATTGTTTTTCTAGGAACACATTACCACTGGTTAAAACTTCTTACACAAAACATAAATCACATAGAACAGAAGGAAAAAGGCATGAAGACAACCTAAATCCATTCATTTTGCAATGTGTCTGAAGTATTCATCTAAAACATTACAAGTAACATTAAAATACAGTAAGAACAAAGATGTGGCTAATCCTAAACTTCCACTATAACAAAAAAAATAAATTGCTGTAAATTTACCTGTTCTTGTGTACGGTTAAACAACTTTAAAAGTTGTCTTTTTCTTTCTGTTTCATGTTGGCTGTCGTATGCTGACGGTAAGTTTTGTGCTTCTTGCCCAGGTGGAGCTCTTGCCTACAGGAACAATAAATTGTCCATGAAGTTTTTATTGCTAAAAATTTGATTCCAAAATAAAAACTGTATTATATTAGTGTAATGTTTTCTTTAAAATGCTGGGGAGAGAGAAAAATTTGGGGATGGTCCAGTATCCCATCCAGAAAGAAGATATGCTCCATATCAATCTTTGTTACAGAAAGCTGATAAAATAATGTGCAAACCTGCAATACAATAGCATTCAATACCAGGATTAGCATTTCTCCTAGATGCTTCACATACTACTAGACTGGGTCTCCTGTGGTTTATTTGAGAGCTTGCGATTGCTGCCCTTTGTAATTACATTTTTAGACTCTGATCCCAAGTTACCTTAAGAAGTTTTGTAACACAGCTATAATAGCGGTCCTTTAATTCTTCAATGGTTCTAGCCTGCAGCAAGAATATAAGTTATGCAGTTCAAATCAATGTCAATGTCAATGTCAATCAATGTAATATTGCTGTTCTGTGCAATTCCAACAAAGGTTACTAAATGGATTGTAAAGGAAAATAAAGTGCAAAAGCGTAAAACACTTACAATGAAAGAGATTAACAGTCTATAATTTCAGTAAAAATACCTGATACTGTTCCTTGTCAAACCGGTCATGTATCACTATAAAACGAAGATCAAATCGTCTGAAGGAAAACAAAAAAAGAAAAGAAATTAATAGAACATACTGAATTGTTTGGCTGGCAATCAACCAGATGCAACATTTACAGAGCTAGGAGTTTTGCTTCTAGATCTTAACAACTGTTTATATCAGTGTTGTATAAAAAAACTGCCCTTAATGTTTCCATATCAAAGTAATATTTCATTTGTTTTCACCTGCAAAGATCAAACAAGTGATCAGTCTCACTTCGTGTCCATGTTGAGGGGGGTCCATCATGGAGACACATCTGTTCAATTTGAAAAATTTATGTTTAATCATTGAACCCTAGGAGTAAGTGTCGCACATAATAGAGAGATTAAGACGTGAATTTCTACCGCGTGACCAAGTTTTCCCCTTATTTTCGGTTTACTCTTTATTGCTTCTACACAAAAATAAGTAGTGTTATGCCAGTTTTAACCACAGGAATTGTTTGGGACTGTTTTTATCTGCTTATTTGCTATTTTGAGAAATTCTCAACTTGAGTCTGACAATTGACGTTTGCGGTAAACATGAATCTTAATCTCTCTAATGTCCCATTTTCAACTCACTGATTAATCAAATAAAAATGGTTCTTAGGACACAATGACAAAGTAAAAAGAGTCTTAATCATAGAATAAATTCTCCTCAACAGCACAAGAAAAAAAATAGAAAAGGGCGTCGAGAATATGCATGCTGACATTACAGTTTACAGGCTTGGGGTAACTTTGAGGCTACATGTAAATGAAACTAAAGTAATGAGCCTAGATGAGACTAAACATTAATGCATCAACAGAATGCAACCAACAACAGAGGAAGGTTTATGACAGATTTTATGCTGTAGGTTTGTTGTAAGCACAATGCAAGTTAGACAGAGGTGTACCTGCAAGTACAATGTCAATTGACAGTCTCAAGACACTTACACTTTTCATTTTATATTAACATTTTCATCCTTTATCCCAAAAAAGGAAATTTCCCCAAGCAACAAGGAACTTATTTTGAGAATCATAGTTTGTTTGAGTCAAACCTGGTATTCTTCATCTGTATAACTTGGAACATCAACTTTCTGTAAAAAAAAAAGAATTATCAAATGTCTTTGGTTATCCTCTGTTCTATAGACAGATGTCAAAGCTCATAGTCACTGTAACTTAATCTTCTGTAATAAGAAATAATGTTGATCAAAATCTAAATATCACTTCCACTATCACTTTCTAGAATACCCTAGAAACAGCACTGTAAGTCAGGACGATTGAAGGGTCTCTGCTTCCAGAGTATCCCTGGCACTGCTTGTAGCAACTTTGGCCAAAGCTCTATTAATAAGCTGGCAACTTCTATGAAACAGCCTACTTGACCCTCACTCAGTGTTCATAGATTGATGATTGACGATTACAATCTCATAATCATATTGTTTTAATAAAACAGTCAACTCTCTCTCAGCAAATGCAATATAATTGTAAGGCAGACAGTTGATTGTAATATTACAGTCATTATTGCATGAAGTCACAGGGTTTTCAATTATAAGAGCTGGTGGCTGGTGAAATTTGCCAGCTATTTTACGTGAACTTGCCGCCCACTATTCTTTGGAAATTAACCCAGTTTAAATAAAGTATTCATGTGCTGTCACTGAATAAAAAAAGCCAAAATTTAATGATGTCTGTGTTCTGTTCAAACACTCTAATAATATTTTTGCCCCAGAATGCTGGAAATGCATTCTAAGAGCCCCAGATTTCAAAAATTTTTCCAGAAGTCAAGCCTTTGCTGCAATTTTTTTTCTTCTCCACCTACTCCAAAGCTTTTGCCACCTACTTAAAATCTTATTGAAAACCCTGAGTCAAGGTCAACCCTACCTTGTTAAACCTAGCAAATGGATAATCTTTTCCTTCATCTGCTGCTCTTCTCCAGTGATACAACACTGCGCCATCTGTACGAGCCGGGTTGGTAAAAGGCACCCACTTCCAAGCTCTGACATGTCGTCTGCCTAGCTTTGCTTTCATCTGTTTATATCCATGACTTGTATCTGTTGACGAAAGGGGTGGGGAATCCCTACACAGAGAACATACCTTCAGTCAATCACTTTTTAACTAACACGTCAGCATTAATTTTATCAAACTGTTACTTTTAACTCTCCATAAACAATCATTAATTTTCAAACCTGATCACATACAAACAGGTGCATATTGGATTGACTGGGATCATACAACCCTGACCTGGTAGGGTAATTTTGTAATCTCCACTTGCTATCCTCTTACAACAAGCCTGTCAAACTGCTAACTTGTACCGTTACATTTCGGATTATAAGACTACCCCAGATGATTTGAGCTACTCCAATCGATCACCCAGTGACTAGCCACTTAGGCTTATATCAAGGTAGTCATTAGCATATTCGCTGTACTCGACCCCTAGTACTAAAATTAATCAATTAGCTGGGTGTACTGATATCAAAATTGACAACAGTCTGTAGACTGAATTGTTCACGGCTCTAACCTGCTATCACTGTACAACAAAGCATACAGCTCTCGGTGCATTCCCTCTGGGCGTTTGAAGCTTGATTCGTTTGCCCTTCTTAACTTTCTTGCCTGTAAAATCAGTAAAATTATCACTGAATTACGTGTAATTGTACAGAAACTAAGCCAAACAGCAAAATTAAATAAATTGCGATTCTTCAATACATAAGATAACAGAAGTACTACTAATTTATTCCCACAACCAGAAACGTTTATACGTCGGCTGAGTAGCGTTCATTACCTTGTTTCCTCCAACAATAGCTTCTTTGCTTGGAGCAGAAGCGCCTTGCTCTAACTCCAAAATGTCTCGGATATCACTCATGTTGGTAAGCTGTCGAGTGTAATAATTACCAATAGATATTTAAAAGTATAGGATCTTATTGAAAAGGATATAGGACTGCCGAAAAACAATATTCTCTCCAATGATACAGAAGATGACCAAAACTATCTGTGCGCCGCCATTTTTGTGTTGGTTTCTTTCCCAGATCCTCACGGTCAGCCTCAAGTTCGCGTGCATAAATTCCTCTCTCGAGTGACTTGCAATCAGCTTAGGAAATCTTTTATTTTTATAAATCTAAAAGGGTAGTGTTAGCTATTTATGCCTCTGCAATGGTTCGGGTGGCATTCATTCATCCTGATCTTGGAATTGGAGGAGCAGAACGTCTTGTAGTGGACGCTGGTTTGGCCTTGAAATCGCGTGGACACGAAGTTCACTTTTTTACCTCGCACCATGATAAATCGCACTGCTTCGAAGAAACGAGAAATGGGTCCTTAAATGTTACTAGTGTTGGAGACTGGCTTCCTAGACACTTTTTTGGATGCTTCTATGCTTTTTGGGCTTACCTAAGAATGATTTAATTATCTGCTTATTTGCTATTTTGAGAAATTCTCAACTTGAGTCTGACAATTGACGTTTGCGGTAAACATGAATCTTAATCTCTCTAATGTCCCATTTTCAACTCACTGATTAATCAAATAAAAATGGTTCTTAGGACACAATGACAAAGTAAAAAGAGTCTTAATCATAGAATAAATTCTCCTCAACAGCACAAGAAAAAAAATAGAAAAGGGCGTCGAGAATATGCATGCTGACATTACAGTTTACAGGCTTGGGGTAACTTTGAGGCTACATGTAAATGAAACTAAAGTAATGAGCCTAGATGAGACTAAACATTAATGCATCAACAGAATGCAACCAACAACAGAGGAAGGTTTATGACAGATTTTATGCTGTAGGTTTGTTGTAAGCACAATGCAAGTTAGACAGAGGTGTACCTGCAAGTACAATGTCAATTGACAGTCTCAAGACACTTACACTTTTCATTTTATATTAACATTTTCATCCTTTATCCCAAAAAAGGAAATTTCCCCAAGCAACAAGGAACTTATTTTGAGAATCATAGTTTGTTTGAGTCAAACCTGGTATTCTTCATCTGTATAACTTGGAACATCAACTTTCTGTAAAAAAAAAAGAATTATCAAATGTCTTTGGTTATCCTCTGTTCTATAGACAGATGTCAAAGCTCATAGTCACTGTAACTTAATCTTCTGTAATAAGAAATAATGTTGATCAAAATCTAAATATCACTTCCACTATCACTTTCTAGAATACCCTAGAAACAGCACTGTAAGTCAGGACGATTGAAGGGTCTCTGCTTCCAGAGTATCCCTGGCACTGCTTGTAGCAACTTTGGCCAAAGCTCTATTAATAAGCTGGCAACTTCTATGAAACAGCCTACTTGACCCTCACTCAGTGTTCATAGATTGATGATTGACGATTACAATCTCATAATCATATTGTTTTAATAAAACAGTCAACTCTCTCTCAGCAAATGCAATATAATTGTAAGGCAGACAGTTGATTGTAATATTACAGTCATTATTGCATGAAGTCACAGGGTTTTCAATTATAAGAGCTGGTGGCTGGTGAAATTTGCCAGCTATTTTACGTGAACTTGCCGCCCACTATTCTTTGGAAATTAACCCAGTTTAAATAAAGTATTCATGTGCTGTCACTGAATAAAAAAAGCCAAAATTTAATGATGTCTGTGTTCTGTTCAAACACTCTAATAATATTTTTGCCCCAGAATGCTGGAAATGCATTCTAAGAGCCCCAGATTTCAAAAATTTTTCCAGAAGTCAAGCCTTTGCTGCAATTTTTTTTCTTCTCCACCTACTCCAAAGCTTTTGCCACCTACTTAAAATCTTATTGAAAACCCTGAGTCAAGGTCAACCCTACCTTGTTAAACCTAGCAAATGGATAATCTTTTCCTTCATCTGCTGCTCTTCTCCAGTGATACAACACTGCGCCATCTGTACGAGCCGGGTTGGTAAAAGGCACCCACTTCCAAGCTCTGACATGTCGTCTGCCTAGCTTTGCTTTCATCTGTTTATATCCATGACTTGTATCTGTTGACGAAAGGGGTGGGGAATCCCTACACAGAGAACATACCTTCAGTCAATCACTTTTTAACTAACACGTCAGCATTAATTTTATCAAACTGTTACTTTTAACTCTCCATAAACAATCATTAATTTTCAAACCTGATCACATACAAACAGGTGCATATTGGATTGACTGGGATCATACAACCCTGACCTGGTAGGGTAATTTTGTAATCTCCACTTGCTATCCTCTTACAACAAGCCTGTCAAACTGCTAACTTGTACCGTTACATTTCGGATTATAAGACTACCCCAGATGATTTGAGCTACTCCAATCGATCACCCAGTGACTAGCCACTTAGGCTTATATCAAGGTAGTCATTAGCATATTCGCTGTACTCGACCCCTAGTACTAAAATTAATCAATTAGCTGGGTGTACTGATATCAAAATTGACAACAGTCTGTAGACTGAATTGTTCACGGCTCTAACCTGCTATCACTGTACAACAAAGCATACAGCTCTCGGTGCATTCCCTCTGGGCGTTTGAAGCTTGATTCGTTTGCCCTTCTTAACTTTCTTGCCTGTAAAATCAGTAAAATTATCACTGAATTACGTGTAATTGTACAGAAACTAAGCCAAACAGCAAAATTAAATAAATTGCGATTCTTCAATACATAAGATAACAGAAGTACTACTAATTTATTCCCACAACCAGAAACGTTTATACGTCGGCTGAGTAGCGTTCATTACCTTGTTTCCTCCAACAATAGCTTCTTTGCTTGGAGCAGAAGCGCCTTGCTCTAACTCCAAAATGTCTCGGATATCACTCATGTTGGTAAGCTGTCGAGTGTAATAATTACCAATAGATATTTAAAAGTATAGGATCTTATTGAAAAGGATATAGGACTGCCGAAAAACAATATTCTCTCCAATGATACAGAAGATGACCAAAACTATCTGTGCGCCGCCATTTTTGTGTTGGTTTCTTTCCCAGATCCTCACGGTCAGCCTCAAGTTCGCGTGCATAAATTCCTCTCTCGAGTGACTTGCAATCAGCTTAGGAAATCTTTTATTTTTATAAATCTAAAAGGGTAGTGTTAGCTATTTATGCCTCTGCAATGGTTCGGGTGGCATTCATTCATCCTGATCTTGGAATTGGAGGAGCAGAACGTCTTGTAGTGGACGCTGGTTTGGCCTTGAAATCGCGTGGACACGAAGTTCACTTTTTTACCTCGCACCATGATAAATCGCACTGCTTCGAAGAAACGAGAAATGGGTCCTTAAATGTTACTAGTGTTGGAGACTGGCTTCCTAGACACTTTTTTGGATGCTTCTATGCTTTTTGGGCTTACCTAAGAATGATTTATGTGGCTATTTATCTTATCTTTTTCTCTTCATGGCGAATGGACGTCATCATTTGTGATCAAGTGTCTGTTTGCATACCGGTTCTAAAACTCAGCCAAGCGCGTGTGGTCTTTTACTGCCATTTTCCGGATATGCTTTTAACTCAACGGAAGAGTTTCCTTAAAAAGTTGTATCGTGCTCCGTTGGATTGGCTGGAGGAAGTTACTACTGGTATGTTTCTGGAATTTATGTGCATTTATGCGGGGAGAGGCGGGGTGGGGGGGGGAGGAGGGGGGTAGTCTAGCTACTCCCTAGGGAATAATCCCTATAAAATAAAAATGGCGAGTGATCGTTGCTGTGGTACTTTTTGGGAACTTCCAAAAGATATGGAGCCGAAAAAATATTGGAACTATTTTGTTATTACTCAATGGTTTGACTTTTGGTACAAGCCAGTTTTATAAGGGAGATCCCCACCAAACTCAGGATAGTTCTTTATATGTACAATGTTCAGCGCAGGTCTCCATGTTGTTGGATTGTGGAACCTGGTCAGGGGGACATGCTATTGTGTTCGTATTATCCAGACGCCTGTAGAGCAGGGTTCTACTGTAGTTATTTTGCTCCTGATATTGTGAAATTTGCATGTTCAAAGGTTAAGTGCCCCTAATTTTTTTTATTTTTTGGTAATAACTATGATCCAAGTTTTACTGTTCTTTTTTTAACTCTTCTTTTTTAATTGTTTTCTTTTCGTAAGGTATGGCAGATGTTGTTCTTGTTAACAGCAATTTCACTGCAGATACATTTGTATCAACATTTACAAGTCTACGCAGCAATCGACCTCGTGTCTTGTACCCTTCATTAAATTTTTCATCATTTGATGCCTCAGTTTTGTCTGATGAGAGTGACGACCTTGTACCACCTAAAGCAAAGATTGTGTTCTTGTCTATCAACCGTTATGAGAGAAAAAAGAACTTAAAGTTGGCGTTAGAGGCACTGGACTGGCTTAAACATGTTGTCACTGATCAAGAATGGAGGGATGTTTATTTAATTATGGCAGGTGTGGTCTCTATTCTTTGATTTACAGTATAGAACATTACTGTGCACTATTCTTTTTGGAAGAGAAGTAATCAACCTACCTCATTGTACAATTTATCAATTGTTTCAATGCAGGTACATGTATTACTCTAAGGAAAATAAAAATGCCTTTACTTTGTTTATTCTAACATTTCATATGTTTATTTCAGGTGGCTATGATGACAGGGTTGTAGAAAACAAGGAACATTATCTTGAACTTCGCAAACTTGCAGACCAGTACCATCTTACCACCAAAGTGACATTTGTGAGGTCATTTAGTGATGTACAAAAGCTGACCCTTCTGAATCGCTGCACGTGTTTACTTTATACGCCGAGTCATGAACACTTTGGTATTGTTCCTATTGAAGCCATGTACATGAAGAGACCTGTCATTGCCGTCAATAGTGGAGGTCCTTTGGAGACTGTTCAAGATGGTGTGACAGGGTTTTTGTGCAATCCCGATGCAGAGTCTTTCGCTCTTGCTATGCAAAAGTTTGTGAAGGATCCATCCCTTTCTTTAGTGCTGGGTGAGGCTGGAAAAGAAAATGTCATCAAGAAGTTCTCTTTTGATGTCTTTGCAGAACATCTTCATAACATTGTATGTTGTTTGTTCCTGTTGGAGTTTGATGCCTATCCTCTTGACTAGGTTATAATTTTTGCTTTTCCACATTGAACATCAGTTACATACGTACAGTCTTGTATTGTAGTTGTAACCTTGAGGTGCAAAAGAACATTTATAGTTACCATTTAAATAAAATGTCTTTTGCAGGACTTTCTCTCAGAACTATTAAATTTTTGATTTTCAGAATTTTATGAAATGAGAAGTTGGAATTTTTCTTTAAAGCTTTTTGTGGAAAGCCCAAGTCTACAAAATTAATCCGTTGATCATTCTTCTCATTTGACCACAAAGTTACAGTCAGAATCTAAAGCACCTACCCACAAGACAGGCTCATATATACATTCAGATTGTTTTAGAACTATTTCTAGTAGAACCTCTCCTTACAGACATCTCTATTACAGACGGACAGTGCACTTACTCACAGAAACACTAAACTTCATTTTTCTTCCTGCAATGTACCTCTATAATAAAGACAGTTCTCTTCTGTAATACAGACCTTGGGTCTTTCCTTCAGTGTCTATTATTAGGGAGGTTTGACTTAGTTAACTGAAAAAAGCCGAGTGTGAGGTCCAAGTATATTCAGTTAAGCTGAGTATTTGAAATATTTCATGTTATATGGTATACTGAAAGCTTTCTTCACTGTCACTGTTGTCGTTATTTTTTAATTAACAGGTCACAGATGGAGAACAGGCTGGAAGAGCATGTTCAGTGGCTGTAACATGTTTTCTAATGGTCATTGTATTCTCAGTAGCCTGCGCATGGGTGCTTTATTTCTATCAATGACTGACAAGTGTCTTCAATAGGAAACTAGAAGGATTTTCCCTAGTACAGCTGTATCATAAATCAAATAAATTATTATTAGTGTTAGGTCCCAAGGTTGTATGTTATTGGAATGCACTGGTTTGACATCTAAGAATGGATACAAGTAGAGTTAGTGCAGCATCATCATTTGATTAGCAGTGGGGAAATAATTTTGGCATTAATTTCATNGTACCTCTATAATAAAGACAGTTCTCTTCTGTAATACAGACCTTGGGTCTTTCCTTCAGTGTCTATTATTAGGGAGGTTTGACTTAGTTAACTGAAAAAAGCCGAGTGTGAGGTCCAAGTATATTCAGTTAAGCTGAGTATTTGAAATATTTCATGTTATATGGTATACTGAAAGCTTTCTTCACTGTCACTGTTGTCGTTATTTTTTAATTAACAGGTCACAGATGGAGAACAGGCTGGAAGAGCATGGTCAGTGGCTGTAACATGTTTTCTAATGGTCATTGTATTCTCAGTAGCCTGCGCATGGGTGCTTTATTTCTATCAATGACTGACAAGTGTCTTCAATAGGAAACTAGAAGGATTTTCCCTAGTACAGCTGTATCATAAATCAAATAAATTATTATTAGTGTTAGGTCCCAAGGTTGTATGTTATTGGAATGCACTGGTTTGACATCTAAGAATGGATACAAGTAGAGTTAGTGCAGCATCATCATTTGATTAGCAGTGGGGAAATAATTTTGGCATTAATTTCATGATTTACATTGAAAGATAAAAGTCAGTTAAATTACCTTTACGAACACTCTTAGAAATGACTTGTGGGTAAAGTAACTTTATTACAACATAATCCACGACATAATCTGTACAATGTATTGTCTGAAGTTGACATATTTCCTTGAAAATATATTACCAGTAAAATATGAATTCAATGTAATAACGTTCATTCTAAAATGGGATAGAAAAAATAATTAATAAAATGCTAAATCTGTTGAAATTAAAACAGTATCATTTCAACTGTTTCAAAACAGTGTTCTGGATTTTCTTTGACTCTGAGACTTTCAGGTGGTAACTTAAACCACATTTCAGTGGGTGATGGTGTTAAAAGATTACTACTGGTATTATTTCGGGTTCTTGGCAGGATTTTTTCTACGAAGGGCTGATGTTCTCTTTATCTTCATTCTGATAATTATTGCATTGCATCAATTTTGTATCTCTCTGTAACCGTGCATAATAACGTAGGACATCAGGATGAGCTCGCACACACTTGCTGTCAAAGTCCAGAACTCTGAGCCCTTGCAAGCTTCTTGCTCGTGAAAGGGCGACATATGCTTGTCCATACTCGAATACTCTTGACAATGAGATTTCAACACAGTCCAATGTCATACCCTAAAACAGTGCAGTAAAGAAGTCATCAAGCTTATCTAACTAGCAGCCACAATTCACTTAGACTGAGAAAACAGCCAACATTTTGCAAAGCTACCACTGGTTCTCCTGTGAAATGATGTCTGAGCAACAAGCCCAGAAATTCCATACTGATGATGTGTCATTACCCAGATTGGGTAGTGCTTCTGATTGGTTGAAGCGTCAGCGTGATTAATCAGAAGCATTACCCAGATCTGAGTAGTGACATTTCACCAGTATGAAATTTCTATAACTCTTGTTCTTCAGGTGTTATTTTGCAGGGAAATAAGCGGTGGCATTGTGAGATGTCGGCATGTTTTCTGAGGCTACAAAACAGTGGGTACTAACAGACTTAGCAAACTTGAGTTAGGGTTTTACCCCAAATTCCCTGATTTGTTTAGGACAGTGCAACACCTTCTTCACCTTACCTGGCTTTTATGTATGGACACTGCCCAGGCTAGTTTGAGTGGCAGCTGTCGTCGAGTGACTGTCCCCCCTCCAGCTGTTTTCACCACCCATTTCTCAGGTCCAATGACCTGCTCTGAACCAGACATGAACTTCACCACTGGGTAACCTAACATGACATACAACACAACTTCAATAACAGACAAGTGCATTATAGAGCAGACTGAAAAATACCACCATTAAGAAGTTTTTTTATTTTTCATACATTACATTAGTCACTTTTGTCCTCCCTAGCACATAGTTTAATACACTCTTTTAATAACAGAAAATCCCCTCACAACGGTCATTTCCCTTTGTTCTGAAGGTGACACAGGAGGTTGTGGAGAAGGTTTTATTATTGCTTATTTCTTTCCTCTACTCTTAACAGTGGCGAAAAGAAAAATTTACCAAAAAATTCAAATTTCTTTTTCTAAAAACCATAGAAATAAATATCTCTATGTGAAAGTTCTGCCATTTTATCCGGTAATAGTACCATAGCATGATATTAATTTTTTTCAATGCAGGATACTTAACAGTTTGAATGGAAAGCATTTCACCATACTTGGAATAAAAAGATTAACGGGCATACATCAGTTTATTATTATGATTATTTTCCTTACTCTTTTTACTTGGATATAATTATCTATTGTGGATGCATGTTTAGTCATTAGGAATTGCATCGTAAGCAAAATAGCATACCAGCAGATCCTGAATCAAAGCGTATGATTATCCCACGGGCACCATTAACAAGTCCTTTTGATACATTCAAGTTTTTGGCCAACATGACCTAAGTTTATAGAGAGAGTTAAAACTGTGTGAATTTACTTTAATTATTATAAATAAACATTGTGATTTGGTTTTTAATTGGAAGCTCTATTCTTTTTAGAGCATCCAATCAACAAATTGTGGTCAAAGAGTGTAAAGCTAAATTTGCTTAAAGCCTACATCTCTGAATTCAAATTTCCCACTAACCTGGGGCCATCTTACCCCAGCCTATAACCAAGTTCTAATTCTGAGAGGAAATTATGCATATAATAATAATGTTCTGTATAATTTTACATAAGAGTTTTGTTCCATCCCCAACAGAATGTTGCTGGACATACAACCATCAATTGACAATAATAATATTTTCTTATTGATATTTAGTTTACAATATACATTGTTGTATGATCTTACCTGTGCACCCTCTTTCAACTCCAGTGTCTGCCCAACAGGGACCTGACTGTCCAGCATGGTGCACGTTGAGCTGTCACTGTCCATGGCTTGAAACACTCTCTTCTCACCAGGTAATCTTGACAGGTGGATCTCATTAATCTGATTGACATTCTCCTTGTGAGTGCAAAGCTTTGTAGCTAATATTCCTTCCTGTTCTATCACTTGGTTCTTTGTGTTGTTTAACTTTTGGACAAGTACATCAGGGCAACTGAAAAATAAATCATAACTATGTTATTAAACATCAGAGGCCTAGACAGCACAAGATTAAAAAAACTGCAGCCCTCAATAATATGAGTATTAATTAATATCACTATTTTGTCAGAAGGAGTCAATTACCTTCCAACCCGGACATTCTGTAGAATGGAGATAAACAGAGGATCTTTTTGTCTGTAAACCTTCTTTAGCTCAATGGTTGTATGAACACAGTCATTCCAGCAGTCTGCCTTTTAAGTGAAAAAGATGTCTTTTTTCAAAGTTATGAAGAACACAATCCCTGGGTACACAATATAGTAATGTATTATTTGATCAATAAAACAAAAAGAATTAGCTAACTGTACACAAATTACTAAATATAAAGACTTGTGGAAGAGCTCAGCATAAGACAGGGAAAAAAAAGTAGAGCCACTGCCAACTTCTACAAGCAATGTGGCCAATGCTTTTGCTCACTGCCAGTGATTCAAATGCCAATGCTTCAATTCCAAGCACAGTTATACATGTAGGACTGTTCTCCTCCTTTTTCTTACCTGGAAACAAAACTTTTTCTTTTCAGCTTGTTTTACCACAGGGGGTAGCTGCAAAAAATCCCCAGACAAAATCAACTGAATTCCACCAAAAGGAATCTCCTTTTTTCTGATAGCTCGGGCTACAGCCTCAAGCTTGTCAAAGAAGTTAGAATCTACCATAGAGATTTCATCAATGATCAAGTNTGTTCTCCTCCTTTTTCTTACCTGGAAACAAAACTTTTTCTTTTCAGCTTGTTTTACCACAGGGGGTAGCTGCAAAAAATCCCCAGACAAAATCAACTGAATTCCACCAAAAGGAATCTCCTTTTTTCTGATAGCTCGGGCTACAGCCTCAAGCTTGTCAAAGAAGTTAGAATCTACCATAGAGATTTCATCAATGATCAAGTATTTACAGCGTCTCCATTGCTGAGCCCGCCCTGGGCGTAGTGCCAGTTCAATACATTGTGAAAGAGGTGCACTGCCACTTCCAATACCTGAACAGGATAAGAAAATATAGTTATTTTACCCAAAAATAACGAATTATAAATCCACATTAATGCAGATATTTTTGGAACCACATATGATATTTTTTTCTACATTAATCGACCTTCCATCGACACAAAACTAGTGAATCCACTCACCAAAACCACATCTTTTAAAACCGCTCTCCAGAATGGTTTCAAACATCTTATCCATACCAACGTGGGTAATAAAAAATTGGCAGTTTCAAAATTCCCGGATTTGTGAGGACAGGGTCTTAGGGAGAGTTCACTGTATCCTAAACTAATTTTAATAATACAGTCGACTCTCTAAATGGACACCTCTATGATGGACACCTGTAAATCAGACACCTAGAGTTGGCCCCTGCATTTCTTTACACCCTTCATTTGACTCTCTGTGAAATGGACATCTCTCTAAGATGGACACTAAGTGATGCTCCCAAAGGTGTCCATCTTAGCGAGAGTTGACTGTAAATTGAATTCAGAATAATACAGGTCTATTGATATAAAGCATTCCCAGACATGGAAGTTGACCGACACAGTGGCACAAGCCTTAATTTTTTTAATCTGATTAGACAAGTGTTTTCTACATGCACAATTCTTACAGATTACACGTGCAGTATTACAAACGTGAGGTTTAATAGCGAGGAGAATGTAAACATACCTGCAAAAGCGTGCAATGTTGTTCCACCAATGTGACAAGCCGCCGCTCCAGTGCTTGCTGTTACAAACGTACTTTGTGGTGGTAGCATGGTTATCAAACGCTTTAAGAGGTAAGATTTCCCGGTTCCTGCGCTTCCAGTAAAAAACACGCTCCTTCCTGATTTGACAGCATTGAGAACTGTCATTTGTTCAGCTGTAAAGTTCGTTTGAAAGGAACTCAGACAATTGAGGCGCCTCCTCGGAGCTCCGTTGTTAATACCATCTACATCACCTGCCAAGTTTTCTTTCCCTGTCTTAATTCGTTTCGGAGTTCTTCCATTATTTTCGTCCAGAGGTCGTTTCTTGCAGCCCGTGGGACTAGTAAAATCCTTGTCTGTTAAAGGGCTTACGTTTTCAAATGAACGAGGTTTTTCGCTGAGGAGCCTTTGCCTGTTGCTAGCCAGTCCAGTTTGCTTGCTTTGAGCAAGTTTTAAAGATAAACACTTTAGAAAAGCCCCCAGCTGATTTGGAGGGCAGTTGGAGATCATTAATTGTAGTTTTTGCTTTAAAAGCTTGATCGTCGCCTTCCCTTCCTGTAAAAAGCGTTTGTGAATGCTTATTTCTTTCAAGAGGAAGGTTTTTCCAAGCGGTGATTTGGTGCTTACAATTCGCAGCGCGATGTCACGAAATTCATCCCTGCCAATTACGACTGTTATATTTTTGTACGTTCGTCGTTTTGTGACTATTCCACTTGCATTTAGGCTTTCTACTGTCAAACAGCATTCTAGTTCACTAGCTTCCATAATTAACCTAAACGCCGGCTGGCAATATGGAACGACTGATCGAACATCTAAAGAACTTTAAATTTTGTCTCTTGAATTAGTTGTCCAATCACAGCATCCCGTCCCACCGTCGTTCCCAGGACCACCGCAAAGAGAGGAGTGACTGAGATTCCCTGGGACTGTATCATCTCCATTCTTACCTCCATTCCCCATTTCCACATTTTCCATATGGCACCTTATTTGCCCCCCCCCCAAATTTTGCGTAAGTGTTATTTTCAATTTCTCTTGGGACGGCTGTAATTACCAGGAGAAATAAAAAACAAAGGTTATGCAAAATTGGGGGAGGGTGGGGCGGGGAGGGGGTGAATAAGGTGCATTATGGTAATTGTTGAAGTGGCGTACCCACCAGTTAAAAACCAAAAACAAAAACAGTGAAACCCAAAATCGCTTTGCAATAACGAAAATAAGTGGGTCTTTTTATCTTCTTTCGCTCGAGTTGACGGGAGAATGAGAGGCCCTGGGAACAAAATCTTAGGTGACTGTGCATTGGAAAGGGGATTGGCTGTCAGGCCGCATGCACGTTTTTGTGCGACGCACGTCAACCGTTGCTAGATTTCTTTACTCTTGTAGAGACAATTTGCTCGGAAATGTGGGCAGATCCACTGCCAAAGAATGCAAAAAGTACACTTCCGATTGACGTGCGTCGTTCAAAAACGTATTTGCTTAAGTTTCCTATTCTACTCTCTTGACAACATCTAATAATAAATCAAACATGATAGAAAATTTCAAAACATTTTATTCTGAGTGGAAAAAAGTCCGTTTAGCAAGCTTTCTACACTACCTACACCAGGTACTAACTTGTCAGCTGTGGGTTTTGGTCTCTTGGACCAAGTGAACAGAACCAAACAAATTTCACGACTGAAACATAAATGGGACGCATACCGCCTTTGTAATCAGGCTTACTTGCTGTTAGGCAGTTACTGTAAGATTATGCAATAAATGCTCTAGTCCGTGAATTAATATTATTCAACTAGAAATATTGAGCAGTAATGTCATGAAAAGCTGCTCTTCTATTTTTTGTAGCATGACAAATCAGCCATTTGTTTCTTTCCTACATTTCTACAGTACTTTCTAGGCTACGAGTAGCTCCATATTGGTGATCAGGGTATGAAAACAGTTCGAGGAAAATCGCAGCTTAATCAATTTATATATCTAAAGGCAATATTCAAGGTTCAATTCATTCAAAGACAACATTTCGTCTGTAAACGATTCTAAACGTCTCCTAAGATTATATGTAGACTACTGGCAATGCGTTTTGAAGATCAATGCTGGGTAACGACAGAAATTTTGTATGATATTCAAACATTTACGGCTGGAAGACACTGGTGACTCTAACCTGAATGAGCTGGCGGGCTGTAGTGACTATGGCTGCCGTTCTTGCTGAAAAGATTGTATCACAGCTGTCAATCTCGTTACCAGAGGCCGCGATCCCTTTGTACAACGACGGGGATCACCAACATTACCCTATCCGCTGTATAAAAGTAGCGGGGGCTCTGGGGACGAGATTACATTTGTACACAGCTGTCTGCTGCCCAACACCCGATCGTCCTGATATAATACAAAAATAATCTCAAGGTCGGAAAACGAATTTCTAACAAATTCACTTTAGGTGCTCTAAAAATATATACTATCTACAATTATCAAGCATTTTAAACATGCTTCTTACAAGGCGAAAATTACAGTATTCGCAATCTACGAGAATCGTTTGTCCTTTATACAAATATAGCCTACAATTGCTATACGCATGTTTGTTTCTTTTGAAACAAAGTATCCTGTATCCTTGATGTGTACAAGTCCTTAATTTCCTCGGCGATGAAAAGGAACAATTAGCTCCTGTTCCAAATTGACTTTTTCATCTTCAATATTTCGGTGACGTCAGATGTCTGGGGTTGAACTGTAAAACTTTCGATTCTTTCTATCCAATGAAAAACAGCACGCTCTCGCCGAAACCTTCGGTTTGAAAGTGGAATCATAAATACATCGCCGTGACGTCATATCACTCAGCAACTAGTTGCTCGTGAAGTTTGCGTTCAGTTCGTAGAAATGAACTTGAACATTCCATACATTAATAGTAAAGTGGAAGTTGCTTGAACTTTTTTTCTATCACCTAAAGTTTGCGTAATCGCTGTAAGAATCCACAAACAGGCGAGTTATTTCGTAACAGAACTTGTACTGTACCTGTTGGAAAAAAACAAGGGATGAGGAAAAAATTCTTCTTGCCACTTCACAACACTTACTTGATAGAAGAGGCTAAGCATATAATGCTTAGCGTAAAAAAAGACATGAGTCAAACGTGGGGCTTTTCAATGAATGGTTTAAGGTAATCTGTTTTAAGGTGCTGCGTGAAACACATTGCAAGCAACTAATAAACTGAACAAACAAACGCAAATTCTCCTCACCGCTGTTTGGACCATAAGAGGTCTTTGAGTGCGCAGGCGCCGTACACTCTGAAACATATCTATTGTTCCATCTAACTTGACTCGCTCCAGGGCGATGTTCACTGCACAAAACGTCCCTGTACGGCCGCTTCCATCACTAGGAGAATTCAAAGAAAGAAAGACGTTAAAAGCCGAGACCCAGTAAAGTATGTAGATGTTCCTCAGGTCAAAGGACTGGATGACGTTTTGGTACAGACGTAAGACTTATGTGGTTTCGCTCGTCAGTGTAAAGGTGAAAAGTAAAACGGGTAGCTTCATACCAGTAAGACATTGTCACCAGGCAGCTTTATCTTTCATGAATACGCGAAAAAGACTTTCCTCGCCTAAAAATATCGTTTCAGTAGATAGTCCACATATATAACATCAAGTCTGTTTTTTCCCCCAAAATTATGAAACTTGCGTACAAAATTTCGCGCCCGTTTTGCAAGCTCGCGTTAGAGCAAACGATAACGTCATACCTGCAATGGACGACTATTGGTCCGTTGCCTGTCTGTTGTTGCACGCGCGTGATGCATTTCATCATATCCAGAAGGCCAACTCCGTTGAGGGGAACGGAACGCTCCGCCCAGTCAGTGAAGTGGAAATGGTAAATACTGCGAATTTCACCACTCTGTTAAATAAAAAGATTTGTTATTTAAATGAAATGTTGTAATTCCGGCTGTAAGAACTGAGTTTAGAAGAAAGTGCCATGGCGAACCAAGGAGCAAACTCTTAGAATGAGCTCCCGAATGCTGCAAAGCGGTGCAAATCGTTTCCTCTGTTCAAAGTGACGCTAACAACAACCGCATTTGTAATTTCCTTGTATACGTAAAACAGTATGTGTGATTTCGTTTTGCTACTAACTACACTTTGACATTTTATTTGGTATTCTTATACATGTAATTTTAATTTATGAGGGCTCCTGTTTATATCATGTCTGCTGAAGGGACAAGTCTTACATAATACGTAACAACAATTACTCAAACTTTTTACAGATCTAAAGCAGAGCTAATACTCGAAACGCTAGCTCAGTCGACAACAACAAATGTTCGAGAATAATATACCTACGATTGGTTTACCTTTGTGTTAGTTATCTTGAGGTTTCGCCTACAGAAACCGTTTTTCTGTTCTACGGACTCGACTTCAATCATCAGCAAACCAAAAACAATGAATTCTTCTTTGCGGGGCAAATAATACGCACATTGCCCCTGTAAGGAAACAAAATTATTCATAATTACTTTCTATTCCCCTAAGAGCGTGACGCTATCAAATGTTCATCCACACTTCACGTTCATCACTAGAATTGGCTATCCTTTTTTTTTTTTCTTTTTTTTGGGCGTGAGTGGAGGAAGGGAGGGCGCGGCGTTCTTAAACAACAAAACCAAGTATCACGACTTTAGGTTTAGCGTCAACAGACGTGTTCTTTTCTTTCTAAGGGAAGGAAAAGAGAGAGGCGAGGAATTTATCAGTTAACCGGGTTCTTAAGATTCGCACAATTGATAACATCGAATAATCCTATATTGACTGTGACGTAATAGATGCAATCATCGTCAAAAGTGTTGGGCAGGCTCTTACTTTTTAACTCTTTTTACTTTTTTTCCCGCTCCCTGTCCCAATGTTAAACAAAATTAAAGTTTTTGTGCGCGCACTTGTTTTGTTATATCCCAACATTGGAGGTATTTAGCAAAAGGGCAAACTAGCGCTTTTGAACATTAAAATGAACTGCTAACCTTCCCAACTAATTTTGCAGTCTAGATCTTTGTTTCAAAGACTTTTTATTCAAACCTAGACATAAAACTCTAATACTGTAATATTAATGTTCACCACCCTAACTAGTCACGTTATTAGTTTTCACACCTGTTCAATTTCATTCATGGTGCACAGCATCACCACGGAGTAGGCCTCATACTCCCAAATCATCCTCCAGAAATCCACGACCGTGTTATCTAGCGGGGCCTGGGTAGCGATGAATGCTTCGCGCTGCTGAAAGCTCTGCAACGAGTAAAGCAAAAACTATGCTTTACCTCGGCAAATTGTAGTAGCGATAGGCACTTAGACTAACCTGCGATCAGGCGGTTTTTTTTTTCGTCTCCAAAACAGAAGGGAAGAAGGACCGCCTGATCGCAGGTTACACTTAAACAAACCACGACGACGACAGAACCAAGTAACTATCTTAAAGTGATGAGATTTGGAGGTAAGTTGTGAATTTCTCAGCTGTTAGGTCTCAACATTGTTAGCAAGTCAACCTATTTTCAGTTACTCTTAAAAATGAGTGTTTTGTTGGAAGAGCAGCACACCCCAACCAGATTATCATGGAGAACCTTGGGCGTTGTATCAACAAATGAGTAACATTGGTAGAAGAGATTGCTATGGATAGAAAATTTGAGTTTATTCAAGTATTACAGAGGAAACTAACTGAAAGTAGCGAAACAACCAGAGTGGGTAAATATAATGGAGACAATATTAAATATGGCTGCTTACGTCAACAAAGCTAGCGTTGATGTAATCAGATCCAACCAATCCTGTGTAAGGCCACAAGGTCACTCTTGATCGGTCAACTAAACAGACAAAAAAATAATAATAATTTGTTGCTTAAAAATCGGTAAGCGACGGAATAAAAAAAATTCATATTAATTTTTCTGTCAGTGTTCAAACATGGCCATCCGTGTGAGACCAGCGCTGAACAGCAATGAAAGGAACAGAAACTGATGCTTCCACGGCACGTGCTACAGTTTGTTATTTACAGTCCTGTTGAAGACTACACTCACATATATAATCGACCATCACTGACAACTGAATAGGACACTGCTTCTCTATATAAACGATTAGAGTAATGAAACCCAAAAACAAACGCCCTTTACCATTGAGACTTTGAAATCACCGGTCTTTGGCTCCGACAACCGAAGTGGTATTAGAACCTTACGATGAAAAGACGAAATTACTTCAAAGGTCTCTCTGATGTCATTGGTGCGTTTTACACCGCCGATACGCCAACGGTTAGTCCGTTAGCCAGTCGTTCTTTTGAGGTTCAGTTTTCATCCTCGATCGTAGCTTGCAGAAGCGGAGGCACGAGGCAGACAAGAAGCGCGAGACAGACATGCGCGACAGGGGAGGCTGAAAAACGCGAAACAATAGAACCTTTTCTGCAGGATACCTTGCTCTGGCGCTGGAGATAGAGCAGGTTCTAATGTGGGTCATGCCTTTCTAGTGCCTTCTAACCTATTGCATAGAAACAGTGACTTGGAGACAAACAATAAGATTCAGACAGACGCAAGAATCAAACACTCACATGGCAGGATTGCGAATCTGTTTTTGGATTTGTTTTCCGGCTGTGATGCGCTGATAAACGAGTCGTAATCAGAGTCGCCTAGACAAAGATTCTATGAAGCAAGATTGACACACCATTGTTAGATGTAGACAACTTTTAAGTAAATTCACTCATTTTTAAAAACAACTAAACACTGTCATAAGCAAACCAAAGAGTATGGCCTTCTACCCGCAGAATGGGATTCCTGTGCGACAACTAACTTTAAGTAAGGTCTGATGTATCGAGAAGTAACGCTGATAAAATACATGAATATAAGACTAACAATCAGGAAACGCTTTTCCTTTTTACCACTTTATTCTCGAGTAAAAGCGTATGAAAAGTCCAACCACAAACTCATAACCTTTGCAAGTAACCGCGCACATTCAAACCGTAATTGTTCACCACGCAAGCATGCCAGCGCGTTCACACTGCTTCACGTACCTTAAACTCGGTGACCAGAAGTGAGTCTCCACTGTCGGGATCAACAGTGTTTAACACGCGTAACTTCTCTGGTAGTTCACGAACGGGAAATTCGGTGTTACCGCATGTCACGAACTCCATCAGAGCGTCATGGATAAATATGTACTGTGCCTGTTTAAAAAAATGTCACGCTTGGTCACGCTAATATGTCACGATAACTGTCACTAAAAAAAGAAGTCCCACATTACCTCTGTTTGCACCATAGCACTTCTCTGTTGACGGATGTGAGCGACAAATCCATAAATGTCTACCACTCCCTCTGCATCTATTTGGTCCATCATGGCGTCCAAGACAATGAACGTGCCGGTGCGGCCCACGCCAGCACTGGTGAAAAAAGAGAGACATTTGCTGTTACAGCTTCAAAAAAATAGTACTACGGAAAGTAAGGAGACAATTATCTAGAAAAAAAAACTCTATGTAGAAAATAACAAACAGCCATTGGGAAGTTGATCTTCTAACCCCTATGGCAGTAGATCCAGTCCAATCATTTGAAACCTTTGAGGCAACAATTAGTTAGTTTAACCCTTTTGGTTTGAAAGCTAATGAGTTCATCGCACACCATCAAAAAGAATTGAAAAGTTATGTTACGTTATGTAAGATTACCTGCAATGGATCAAAATGGGGCCTGAATCCTCTGGTATGGAAGAGCGGACCTTCCTTAGAAAAGCTAGCAGGGAAGTAGCGTGTGTAGGGACCCCCTGATCCGGCCAAGCTGTGAAGTGATACTGAGTTACTTCACGAGCGCGATACTCCTCTGTGTCTGATGTCTAAAGAAAGAAGAAATGAGCTGCTTAGAGAAGGTGATACGTTTGGTAGTCATGCAATACAAATCACTCAACGCAAACAACACGACGTCAATCAACTTGCACCACACATACATTGACAATCTTATAATATGGTAGCCTGCGTAGCAGGCGCTTCGAAGTAGTGGGCGCAAGAAAAAACGGGCGCGCGAGGTGACACGCGAGGGGAGAGGGAGCTCCCTCATCCCTCGCGTGTCTCCCTCGCGGGCGCCCGTTCTCTCTTATGCCCACTACTTCCAAGCGCCTGCTACGCAGGCTAATAATATGGTAATCACGTAAGATAAGTTATACAACAGTTCATAACAGGACGTATGACGTGAAATGAATCACTGACCAAATAAACATCCGGGTAAGTTTATAAAAGAGAGGATTTTTCAAAATGAGGTGTGAAAAATCACATCAACCATAACGAAAGTGTTTTGAAAAAAATCCTCTAAAAAAATATTGGTTTTGGTCGTTTGACAACAAATGTATTCACAAGTAACAAGTAACTAAATAACTGAATATGTTTAAATCTCTTACCATCTGCACAGAGAACTTTCTGACAACGTAATCTGCCAATTCTTCCACGCCACCGGGTGATACCAGCACTGGGCCGTACATTTCTGGGGAGGAACTCGGCCAGTACTTCAAACATTTAATCTAAACAAGGAAAGAAGCCTTAATCATGTATTTTAATTCTCGTGACGTCCTAGTAGTACTAGATGTAAAAGAATTACCATAAGGCCTAAATAGTTTCTGTTATTTCATTCCTTACTTCCACCTATCTTCAATGTTTAAAAAAGTAGTCATTAATAAACACTGAAACGCGTTCCCCGCATTGTCGCCCGCATTGAAGTGATATTGGTCAATAAAGGGCCAACATACCCGTCCTCCTTCTACGATGTTTGTAACCATGACAACGACACAAACACCTTGATCCCAGACCGTGCGCCAAAAGTCTCCAAATGTGTTTTCCACAGGACCTGAAACACAAATCAGAACAAAATGAAGTCATTACACTCCACAACTCTAAAGGTGAAAATAAAAGATAGTAGTACTTTCCCGTTTATTTCTGAGAAACATTAATGAAGGGAAAATAAAGTTGAATAATAAAAACACAACTTCTTTACCTTGCGTGGCAATGAACTTGCAATGGTGATTGTAGCCCTGTCAAAAATATCAAACTACGTTCAAAATAAGGCTTCACCTCCTATTATTAAAATTAAGGCAGTGGTCTTACGACAGCGTACGAAAATAATCTTTGATTATGCACGTCTTATTTATGACGGCGCACTTACATCAATAAAGTTTGCGTTGATATAATCACTCCCTGGGCAGCCATCTAATTCAGCTAAAGTCACCCGGGTATGGTCATCTGTAGAGACGTAAAAAAACCGTAACGTCGGGTTAAAAAAACGCTGGCAAAATAAATACACATGCAATTTTAAAAGAACAACCAAGATCTTTTATCGTACAAATGAAACAACTTTACTTACATGGAATGATATTCTTGTATCTGTTTTTGGGTTTGTTCTCTGGCTTCTGACTGTTTTCCCATGTAAAATGCCCAGGAACCCTGATGGACTAAAATGTGATAAAGACAAGTGACAACATGAAACAACGGAAGTAAGCATCTAAGCTACATCAGAGTCGGACTGTTTTGAAAGAAGGTTTTTATCTGAGCTAAGCATCTCACATGAAGCACACGCGCAGTTCATGCACGAGCATGTTCATATGCACGTGCATGAACGGCACCAAAACACCTGCAAACAACACGTGATAACCGTCCTGTCAAACATATGCCGTTCAATTCCATGCAGAATTTCTAAATCCAGTGATTTAAAACGTAAATAGCTTTTCTACTGGAAAAATCTGTCAAGTACATGACCAAACTGAGTCTGCTACACATTGAACGACGATTCATCCGACTGAGATATTAGTTAGTTGGTTGTTGGACCGTGTTCATGTATGAAGATTCCAAACTTTACTCACCACAAACTCTTCTTTAAAAGACTTGTTGTTATCTGCGTGGTTTATTTCACAATATTCCCGAAGCTTCTCTGTGGGAATTGGTTTACTGGTTACAAACTTGCCTGGACCAACCACATCTAAAAAGGAAGAATCAGTCATGAAGGTAAGTCTTTGCACTTCCCTCTTAAAACTGCATGAAGCCCACAAGGGATTTTACTTTACTTTGACTCTTTGAAAGTAATATACCCAGAGTTAACCACAGGCATCCCGAGGAAGAAAAAAAAACATCGCACAAATGTTATTACATTTACGAAAACATTACAGGGATCTGAATCAGCACGATAGAATAAAACAACAAAATTAAGAATTTTGTAAGGTTTGAACCTAGGAGTCATTCCATAAGTAAGTTGAGGATGATTGTCCGGGTGAACGTAGTCCTGAATAGGACTGTTGTTGACAGTGACTGACGTTTCGACAACCTGTGCGGTAGTTATCTTTAGGGTCAAAGTGAGTTGTATCATGTAAGTTTGGTCAATTAAGTCGCAATGTTATTGCACACCTGTTAAACCGTGATGTTATAACATCGCGACTTAATTGACCTATCGGGTCAATAACCAGAGCTTATCATGCTCAACATACTTGTAAAAGTAAGAATTATAGCGTAGAGCCTTGCCACCCTTCCCCCTCAAGTTTCTAAAAATTTGACAGATCCAAATTTATCGGAATTAAACTGTAAGGATAGATCACTAATCCGTTAAATACACATTTGTTGCGCTTAAATTATATCCTTGGTTCAAATTTCATTTTCCTTTTCATTTTGAAAAAGGGGTGAAGGTAATGTGTGACAATCGTGTTGAAACCTACAGAAAATGAACCATAGACAAAATTAAACCACAGCACTGTATCATTTTAGAGCATAATGTAACTTGAAATCAGACTCTATTTTTTATGGAAAAAGCATCAAGGAATTTCATTACATCAATACTCTGACGTCACGGCAAAACATCGTCATCTTGCTCAGACGCCGCCATCTTTCGCCATCTCGGGCTTCCATGATATCAGGTGAGAACATTAACATTTTCCAGTTAAGAGGTTTTATGGTTTAACATATTAAGACAATTTGTGAATTAATCAAGAAGTTTTACTCCATTACAGCATTCACGTTTGAAGTTTTAATTTAAGT